CATAAATTTGTGAATATACCGGGATACGGGGTCTTTTGCTCAAGCCACTGATCTGGTAAGGGCAAAGACCCTAACTTAAGTTAGCTAATAAACTCTCCTATTGCTTTTGCATTGTCGTGTGTTGGCATATTTCTCTCACTGAGCAACTCCTTCATAACCTGGGCACAACAATGTCTCCTTCCAGGAATATTCTATTACTTGGTTTTACCAGTGCAGACTCCAACACTTCCCTGCCTTTATAGAGATCTCAGTAACTCATCACATTTCCCAGATTTGGAGTCAAGATTTTGGCTGTCAAGAAATTAATGAACCTTTTTCAGTTGTTGATCCTTAATATTCAGCATTTCTCTCTGTTCAAAATCAGGGTGGCATGTTTATGAATGGCTGTTTCCAGTGGCTGGAGGCCAATCCTGAGGCCTCAGCCCTCCCCCTGTTCCTCTGCGGCCAGAGGGATCCCAGTTAGTCTTTACTCTCATTTGTGGGAATTGGTCTCAAGGGAAATCATGGGCTCATACCATTCCTAGTAACTCATCACTTCATGTTTCCACACATCAGGCCTAGCCTCCTTTATGACTGCATCCTGCTAGAACAGGTGGATGTGATCAGTCATTCTGCGATGCGCATTGCTGTCCTTCGCTTCAGTTACTAAGATAGATGTGTGTTATGGGACTTTACTTTGGAGCTAAGTTATGCCCTGGGGATTTTAGTCAGGCTAAATCTATCAAAGATATTAAAAAGAGCACATGAGATTAAGAAGTAAATTAGCTCCTGAGCTATTGAATGTTCTCCCCTCAAGATTAGTATTCAACAGTGTTTTCTTTGCCACTGGGTACTTCTTTTGCACGATTTAGTATTTGAGCAACATTGCACGTGGTGGGAAAAAACTGCAATGTATTGACAAAGTTAGCGTATGTCCGCACTCTACTGTAATTTTCAGCCACTTCCTAGGAACCAGAGGGCTTTGTGTACTTCTTGGGAAAGTCACCCTATGGATTTTATTTTCAGGTGATCTTAAAGGGCAGTAAGGAGCGCAGCACTGGGGCCACTGGAGTTAATGCAGATTCTTCCCGCTCCCATGCTATCATTCAAATTCAGATCAAAGATTCAGCCAAGAGGACATTTGGCAGGTGAGCTGAAATATGCAGGGAGCCTCATTGTCTTCCTTTCCCTAACATGACTTTGAAATATGTTACCAACAACAGGATACCCTGCCATGGAGTTCTTCCTTTCAGGAATATAGAGTAGGGTTGTTAGCCCTGAAATAAATCATTGTACTAAGGTGCCATCAGTTGATTAACCATGAAGTAATGACCTATTGTTGGTCAACCCTAAGTTATTAAAAGGGACATTGATTGCTTCTTACTTGAAACCCAGTATCAGCAGAAGAACAGCCTGGAATACATCTCAGGGAGCTTACAGACCAAGAAAAAAAGGGAAAATTAATCCATCCTTCTTGAAAGAAGCCATAAGACAATTGAGCACATTCATTGCCTTTCTGGTGCTATCTTAGCAAATTCTCTGCCACACTGATGGATGAGCCTATCTCACCTCTGAGTAATGAGTTTTTGTTTTTTTTTAAACCTGGAAAGCAGCCCACAAAAGTGTTTCTGTTTAATTATCTAAGTAGTCACCTAAGTGATTTGCATTGTGGTCATTTAGTCTCATGGAAAGAACATTTTATGAATTTCAAGCATACTTTCTCACAAATTATTAAAATGAACAGACATGTCTGAGTGAGCAGTGCCAGCAGCAGCTGACAGAACACAGTTCTGTGATTCTTTTGGAAAGCTGACAGTAATGTCTTTCTTTTGTGAGGATGGACCAGTTGTAAAATACTGACTGAAGTAAAAATAAACCAGAAACCCCAAGGAGTCATCCCTGCTGTATCTTTTTCTCTAGGATCTCTTTTATTGACTTGGCTGGCAGTGAAAGAGCAGCAGATGCCAGAGACTCAGATAGACAGACAAAGATGGAAGGCGCCGAAATAAACCAGAGTCTTCTGGCTGTAAGTTGTTCAAAAGCTTTAATCTGGAAATCTTTCTTGAGAGATTTTGCTCTTCTTTCCATGAGCCAGAGGGGTGAGGTGGAGTGGAGTCAGCAGAGCATACCTGATGCTGATAGTGGCAGTGGAATTCCAGGGTTGGAAATAGAGGCTGCAGGATCAGACTCAGCAAGCCTTCCCTTCTCTCCCTGCTGGTTAGGAACAGAAGTATTTCTACAGTTGCTGAATGGTTAGTTTAGGTGCACTTTCCCCCTCTCTAAGTTTTAAAAGAGTTATTAATTTTCACACAAACAAAAGTAGAACCAATAGTATAATGATCCCCTCCCATGTACCTGTCACTTAGCTTCAGCAATTAAATTTATGATTTCTTTTTACCTTTAGGATGTATCCACTAGGAATGTACCGTCATAATACTTTGTTGCAAAAATCACTTGAAATAATTCTTCTCTTTGTGTTTAAAGCCTACCAATTTCATATTCAGTTAGGATCATTTGTTTTATTTTGGTTTTGTTTTTAAGAATTGTTTTCTTTATTGTGTTTAATTTTATAATTCATTTACACAGTTCCAAAGTAAACATTGTGAAGCAAGAATACATTCAGTGAAATCTAGTTTCATCCCTGTCCCCTCAACCCTGTTACCTCCCTCCCCTTGTTGTTAGTAGCTGTCAAGTTGATTCCAACTCATGATGATACCATGTGTGCAGAGTAGAACTGCTCCAGAAGGTTTTCAGGGCTGTGGCCTTTCAGAAGCAGATCTCCAGGCCTGTCTTACAAGGTTCCTCAAGGTTCCTCTTGGTGGGTTCAGACCACCAACCTTCAGCTAATAGTCAAGCACTTAAATCTGTGCATCACCCAGGGAACTCTTCCTCCCCTTAGGAAACAATTTTTCTAAACTTTATGAATTTATTTATTTACTTATATTTATCCCTTTTCTCAGAAAAAAGAAAAAAAAAGGTAGCACACTATAAATACTATTCTGCACCATGCTTTTTTTCTTTAACAGTATCCTGAGATCACTCAATGGTCATGTGTAGAGATCTTCCTCATTCCTTTTTATACATGCATGATACTGCCTTGAGCTCATCCACTGCATTTTTGTCCCTTGATCAGAATTGAAATCTCCAGCTAGGCACATTCTTTTCATGGGATTGTATTGACAGGTGGGAAAGGGAAACAGCATTTTTTTTTTTTTTTTTTAATTATTTTTAGTTTTGAATAATTTTAGATTTATACAAAATTTGCAAGAATAGTACATAGCATTCCTATATTCCCTTCCCCTAGGTTCCCCTGGAGCTCTGGTGGTGTAGTGCCTAAGGCATTTGACTGCTAACCAGAAGGCTGGAGGTTCAAACCCACCAGCTACTCCTCTGAAGGAAGACTGGGCAATCTACTTCTGAAGAGATACCACCTTAAAACCCAAGGAGGGGTCACTATGAGTCAGAATTGACTCAATGGCAGTGAGTTTGGTTTGGTTTAGTAGCTCCCCCTAATACTAACATTTAATATAACATTGTACAATGTTATAAATCAAGAAATTAACATTGGTATAATACTATAAAAACACAAAAAAACACCAAACCTACTGTCAGTACCGACTCATAGCAACCCCCATTGGTTTCCGAGGCAGTAAATCTTTACAGAAGTAGATTGCCCAGTGTTGCTTTCACAGAGTGGTTGGTAGGTTTGAACCACCAACCTTCTGGTTAGCAGTCAGTTGCCTTAGGCACCGTGCTACCAGAGCGCCTTATAATACTATAATGATATCTAAGCAATAGACCTTATTTGAATTTCACCAGTAGTTCCACTAATGTCCTCTTTCAGGTCCAGGATCCAATCCAGATCTCATATTATGTTTAGTTGTTACGTCTCTGGAGTCTCGTCAGCTTTTGTCATTCATGATCGTGATCAGTTATTTTTCAGAATGTCCCTGAATTTGGGTTTGTCTGATGTTTTCCCATGATCAAATTGAGGTTTTGCATTTTTGGCAAGAATGCTACAGAAGTGATGTGCCTTTCTCAGTGTATCACGTCAGGTGGTGCATGATGTCGATCTGTCCTATTACTGGTGAGGTTAACCTTCATCACTTTGTTAAGGTGGTTTGTGCTAGGTTTCTCCATTGTAAAGTTACTAGTTTCCCCTTATAATTTGTAAGTAGCTTGTGGAAAGATATTTTGAGGTGTGCAGATATTTTATATCACACTTTTGCTCACTAACTTTAGCACCCATTGATGACTCTTGCTGGCAACAATTATTGCTATAGTGTTTGCCTGTTGGAATTTTCTATTCTCATCATCCCATCTACATTTATTAATCAGAATTCTGTTGTAAGGAAAAGCTGTCCTCAATTTATTTATTCCATTATTTGTTTATATCAGTAAATGGATGTTGTTGTTGTTGTTGTTGTTGTTATTGCCGTCTAGTCGGACCCGACTCATAGCAACCCCTCCTTGGGTTTCCGAGGCAGTATCACTACAGAAGTAGATTGCCCCATTTTCCTTCCGAGGAGTGGCTGGTGGGTTTGATGGATATTTATTTTATTTGCTGGATTATATATAATCCATTACTATCATTATTACTCCACTTGTCCCAGATTTGGCTATTGGAAGCTCTTCAAGTTGTCTCCTATATTCTTTTGACATGCCCAAATCATTTTTCGTGCATCTCCTTACTTTTTGGCACTAGAAGATATTCCAATCTCATCTTTCTTTTTTTTTTTTTTTTTAATTGTTGTGATTTGGGTGAAAGTTTACAGAGCAAATTCACTTTCCATACAGCAGTTCACATACACTTTGTCTTATGACATTGACCACAATTCACCACAATGCAACAGCTCCCCTCCCACTTCCTCCCAACAGTCACCTCTTCCCTGTGTCCATCCTTCCATGCACCCCTGCCCCCCAAGCTGTCTCCCTGTGCATAAACAGCCCCTCTTTCTCCCATGTCCAATCTCATCTTGTACTTTGCTTGCCTCAGCCCTGGAATCAGCCATTTCTCCAAGGAGCCCCAGAACCAACACATTTTGAACGTTTACTATATATCAGTTTTATCTTCACAACAAGCGTATTAGGTAAGTTAGGCAAATTTCTTTATCTCCACAGATTATGATTCTCAGGTTCAGAAAGTTTAAATGAATTGGCCAAAGATCTATAGCCTTTAGCCAGATATCTGTGATTCTGGTATTTTAAACTGACCCAGGAATCAATTATGAAACCTGAGAAGAAATACTTACCTACAAAGCTATATACCAGCCCTTTAGGAGTTGGCTGTGTCTTTTTCAGATTGATTGTGACATGCATAGGGGCCTAGGAATAAAGCCTTCTAGAGTAGAAAAAAAACTTGTGCACTGTGAGGTATAAAAGATGCCTCTTGCTTCTTTGGTATTTTTCTTGGTTCTCTCTTAGCATTTAGTAAAGTCTCTTGATCATTCCACTTTGATTGAGCAGGGCTAAAGGGACCCAATGGCTGATAAGGGTTGGTGGCCACACATGGACTTGAATATGTTAAGGAGCAACATTGGGAGGCCTCAAAGGAAAGTGTCACTCAGGAGCAAGAGTCTGGTTACCTGTTACCCTTCTAGAGCATCTTCTCAGTGCTAAAGTTTGGGGATATTGGCTTGAGGTGGAAAGGAGAAATTGCCTGATACCTTCTTGTGTTTCAGCTTCTTGGAGCTTTATACTTTCTATTCTAAAGGATAGAGTGGGAACAGGGATCTTGAATCCAGTTTCAGGCCTCTGTGGCTACCACTAACAACATCCACAACAAACTCTCAAATCTTATTACCTATTCTTGGTGAACTCCCAGCTCTATCACTTCTAAGGGATTCCTTCCATCCTCTTCCCTCTTTTCATTTACTACCTTTTAACCAAGATGTATGACTCAGCCTGAGTAGAAATAGGGGAAGATCTCACCTCTCTCATCTTGCTTCCCTGACCCTGCTGTTCCTGCTGTTTCTGATGGGCATGTTGCCCCTGCAGCTCTGTATATCCAGGGCTCTGCTGGCACTACTGATGGCCAATAACCACTTCACATTAAGGACCCCAGGAGCAAGTGACTTCACCTTTCCTGTGAGCCACAGTCCCTGCTTTTCTAAAATGATGGGGGTATTCATAGGTGACTTCACAAGTCCCTCCCAGCACCAACTTTCTAGAATTACTCCTGCCTTATTTAGTCAATCCATATCTGAATCTACCCTTGAATCTACGTGTGTGGGGCTGGGGTGGGGTGGGGTGGAGAATGAATGCAGATACTTTCTCCACTCAGTTACATCTGTAATTGGGAAGAGGAGAGGAAAGGGGTTGGCAGATCACAACTACTTCCTATATTCCCACCACAGAAGCTTGAACTCTGGCACCTGAGGGTAGGTCCCTCAGTTCATCTCTCTCTCACCATCAACTCAGAGCTAATCCTAGAATCACAGCCTCTAAACTGGGAGGCCCTAAGCTAGGCAGCTCTGGTGGAATAGTGCCTAAGGCATTTGACTGCTAACCGGAAGGCTGGTGGTTCAAACCCACCAGCCACTCCTTGGAAGGAAGACTGGGCAATCTACTTCCGTAGAGATACCACCTTGGAAACCGAAGGAGGGGTCTTTATGAGTCAGATCAACTTGATGGCGGTGAGTTTGGTTTGGTTTGGTTTAAGCTAGGCACACAGGATAGTGTTCCCTATATTAGCTTATTTTTTCTTGGTGAACAGGAAACTTCCAAGACATTTTGACTTCCTTTTAGAGAATTGCCTGAGTGTGGTTTGTTTAAGAAAAGCTCCTGTGGACATTGCGTCTGATCTGTCGCTCGCTCTCTCTCAACAATGCAATATCTGATGTGCTTGTTGCTATTCTCCCACTTTGCAGTTGAAGGAATGTATCCGAGCACTGGATCAGGAACTCACCCACACTCCCTTCAGGCAAAGCAAGTTAACTCAGGTAAAGTTAAATGTGAGCTCTGGATATGTTGCATTTCACTCATTTATTCCTTCTTCCATTTATTTGTTCATTCTGCATAGCAGCCACTGTGAGCAAGACATGATGCTAGGCATAGTGGAGAAAAGAGAAAGGGAGGAGTCCCTCTCAGCTAGTAGGAGAGAAGGACATCCTTAGGCAGACACCTGGAGTATGAGGCAGTCAGTCTGATGAGGGCAGCAGCCTCCTTGACAAAAAAACACACAGCATCCCTTTTCTGGTCACCACCCAGCAGCTCTGTTTATTTCCAAGGTACATATAAACCTTGTGAGTTTAGTGGAATTGCTGAACCTCTGAAGGGGTATTGTAGCTGTGCGTGATACCTTCTTGCCTGTAAGACTTAGACTGGTGTTTCAGAACAAAAAATAATTGCTGTAGTTAAAAAGAATAAGATATATTTTTTACATCTGCTCATGGGCAAGATCTGTTATATGAAAAGTAAGCCATAGAACAGTTGATAATATGATTGCCTTTGTGAGTTGAAAACATGTTTTCTATTATATACGTAGCCATACAGGGAAAAAAGTCCAGAAAGATAAAGAATAAACAGTTGGCATTGGATATATCTGGAGACTAGTAATGGGGGTAAAGGTGGAATTTTAAACTTCTCACTTTACACCTTTATGTATGATGTGGCCACCTATCAGTCTCATAATTAAAAAAATATATAAGATGAAGGAAAAAAACTACACAGAAAAATTATTCATATGTGAATTGTGATTATTCTGGTTGATGAAACTATGTGTAGTAACTTTTTTCTTGTGTTTTCCTGTCATGAAAATGTGTGTTTATTTAGTAATGGAAAACACCAATAGACATTAAGCCCACATCAGTAGTGGCCACAGAAGAGTGGCTGTAGACTCCCTGGATACGAACAGCTGCAAAGACAGATTACAGATGTCCCAGGCTGGGTTCTGCACCATGTCCTTGCACAGTGGAGGACAGAGTGGTGGGGAGATGTCTGGGAGAGTATCTTTGTAGCCTATAGAATGAAGCCAGCCCAGCATCTAGTAGTTACCAATTTATGCAACCAGACTAACAACTCCATAGAAGCTGGGACAGTACCTGTAACCTCTTAATAGTAAGAATTGGTGGTTCTGTGGGTCAGATTGTGTCTTCTCAAACATGATTTCAGGTAGGGACTCTTTTGTAGGTAGTTAGTCTTGATTCTGACAGTGACTATTATTTTTTTAAAGAGTTCTCCATCCCTAGAAAATATGTTCCAATTTATTAAAAAAAAAAAAATTCAAACAGTACACACAAGTACAAAGATGAAGATAAAAGGTACCTCAATATCTCACCTCCCAGTGATAACCACTGCTAGCTTACATGTTGGTGAACATCCTTCTAGGCATCACTGCTCATATATCCACACAGAGATCCACATGCAGAGTTGTATGGAATCATACATATCTTTCACTCAAAGTTAAGTTTTAGATTATTTTCATATACCTAAATACAAGGTAGATAAGATCATTTTTAATAGTTATATTCATTTTAAAATTGTTTCATTTGTTCCCTATTTACAGACTCTCAGATTATTTCCAATTTTATTATTATTATTGACAATGTTGTGATAAAAATCTTTGTATGTACTTTTTTTTTTCCTCTGTCAATTGAGCAATTATTTCCAAGTCCCAGAAGTGTGATTGTCAAACCAATATTAGGCATATTTTTACATTTTGGTACATACTGCCAAATGCTCTCACAAAACTTGTACTGGTTAATGGCACATGGTACGTGTAGGAGAGTGCCCACTTCCAGGTACCTCACCAGAGCATAGTATTGTCAGTCTTTTTTAATATTATAGGTGAAAAATACTATTTTTTTATGGTTTGTTTTCATTTCTTTATTTAGTGGCCAAGTGAGTATCTTTTTCAGTATGTTTTGGTCATTTGTATTTCTTCTTTTCTGACTTTGTAGACTGGGGCCCAGTATCCTGCATACAATAAGTAGTCTTTAAGCCCTTTGTAAGATGACTCTTCATTCACTGACCTGCCTTCTGTTTCGGACAGGTCCTGAAGGACTCTTTCATTGGTAATGCCAAAACCTGCATGATTGCCAACATCTCACCAAGCCACATGGCCACTGAGCACACTCTGAATACCTTGCGCTATGCTGATCGGTGAGTTGGCTTTCTAATGGCAGGTCATGTGTGTATGCATGCATGTCTCTCACACACACATAGAGCTCTGACATTGAGCTCCACATGCTTGTTCTTAGGCCTTAATACACAATCGGTAATTTGAAGAATTTAACCAGGTAGGGCCTGCTATTTGCAAGTGTGATGAGTGGAAGATGACACATTCCCTTGTTCTGGAGTTGACTCTACCCTCTCAGTGACTTTTAAATGGCTAGTGAGAGATGAAATATTTCTTTGGGATAGAAGGCTCAGTGAGGTTTTCTTCCTGCTGGCTTCAACCCTAATTGTAAGGGATAGACTGTATACTGCTGGTCTAGGCAGAATCTCTATAAGTCATGTAGGTCTGAAGCAACCAACCTGGGATTTGTTACAGAAGGGAAAATGGAGGCCCGAGAAAAGCAGGAATTTTCCAAGGGTTTATCAGGAGTTAATGGCAGAGCTAACACTTTTGACTGTCTAGTCAGTGCTCTTTCTGGGGTGACTTTGGTATCTACTGAGGGTCTATTTCATCTCTCACCCTGTACTCACATATATTTCTTACGGTGAGTGAAGATGATCTCATCACCATGCTTTCCTTTGGTTGCTTTGTTTCCTGGTCCTATCTTGAATCTTCCTCTTCAGTCTTCCAGAAGCTGCCTCCACGATTAACTATTTGAGAAAAACCTGTTTTTTGTTACTGTTGAAGCATCTTCAGTATCTATGGCAATTTATGAAACTTATTAGGAGGGAGAGGCGAGCTATCATTTAAGTTCCATTAGAACAGAAACCTTATTTTTCCTTTTTTCCACTGTATCCCTGATGCCCATATAGTACTTGGTAGATGCTAGTACTAGTAGATGTTTGATAATAGTTATGAATGAAAGAAGGAGCTCCTTCTTGGTGCCAGGCCTTGAGTGAGGCCCTCTGTGTATCTTATTTCACTAAATAGGAGAGGTAGTTTACAAAATGGTTCTGAGAATACGCTCTAGAGTCAATATCCTGACTCTGCCATTAGCTAGCTGAGTTTTCAACTTCTCTTGGCCTCAGTTTCCTCATCCGTAAAACAAAAGAAACAAACCCATTGCCATAGAGTTGATTCTGACTCTTAACAACCCTATAGGACAGAGTGGGATTGCCCTATAGGGTTTCCAAAGCTTTACTCTTCATGGAAGTAGACTGCCTCATCTTTTATCCACAGAGTGGCTGGTAAGTTCAAAACCTGAAGTTTAAAAACTTCACCTAAAAACTTGAAGTTCTTAATCCCCATGTATCCACCCAGCTTCAACAATTATGAACTCTAAGCCAATCTTGTTTGATACTTCTCCCCTCCCCACTTACTCCTCAAATCCCAAACAGCCTATCAATCTCTTAACCTTCATCAAGTTCTTAACCTATCATGATTTGGACCAAAGAATAAGTTATCACCTCTAAGTGCTTCAGTACAAGAAGATGAAATGACCCTTTCTCATGAGGGATATATTGAGAATAATTGAGAAATTAATTGGAAATAATTTTAGTTTTAGAAAAGAAAAGAATAGAAAAAGTCCAATGGAATTAATTTTTCCCATTCAAAGTAGTCTGATAAGTTAATGAAAACAAATGTGAAAGCCATTTCTGTCATGTAGTTAAATTAACATATTGAAATTAATTTTTGGTGATACACATACAAATTTTCCCCTCTCTGACTTAAAATTCTCAACTCTCTCCTGGAACAGTGTTGCTAGTCCAAAAATAAAGCCTTCAGTATCAGAAGAGAGCTGCATGTATTTTATTGACAGAAATGATTTTGTTAATCTGGCAAATACCCTGAAAGCCTTTAGCATCAATGACTTGGTTGCCTGTAACGTTCCTTCTGGCACTCAGGCTTCTAGAGTTATTTACTGTAACTCACAGGAGAACAATTTGATGTTTCACTTGTAATAAAAATGGAAAAGCTGGGTTTTTGTAAAGGAAAGCAATTTGGAACCCTATGGATTTGCTGTGGCATCTCCCAGCCCATCCTCGCATATATGCCCTATTGTGACACCTAAGGAAAAGCCCACAGACACATTTCACGTGTATTTATTCACATGACACATCTCTTTGCTCAACTCCGATCACCTGCCTTTCAGACGTAAAATAAAGATTTAAGTCAAATCTCAGTGTAAGCCTTATTACCTTGGTTTTCAGATAAGGCCAAAGAGTCATTTGGCTCTCACTGTGGTAGGATTAAAACCAAAAATATGGGAAAGACATTTTCCAGGAGCTCACTAAGCAGTAGTAGTGTTCCCTCCTGAGGGTTTTAATGCAGAAACTATAAACCACTGGAGAGTTACATTTTTGCTTGATGCTGTCTTGTAATTCTAAATCCTTATAGTGTTTCTATTTTATTTTAAGTATCACAGAGCAAGAAACTCTGATCCTGGCAACTGAATCTTAGTAGAGACCTAATTCTGGATGATTTTTCCATGCTCCCTAAAATTCCTTGTGGAACAGAGCATTGGTTCTCACCAAGGGCGATATTGCCACCCCACCCCCAAGGGTGTCTGGAGATAGCTTTTTTTGTCATAACTGGGGAAAAGTACTACTAGAATCTAGTAGGTAGAGACCCAGGATGCTGCTAAACATCCTACAATGCACAGGACAGCTCTTGCAACAAAGAATTATCTGGCCTAAAATGTCAGTAGTGTTAAGGTTGGGAAACCCTGAAATAGACAAATAGTATTTCCCTTAGTGGAATTAGCACCAGTCTGCTTATTTCTGGAGTGATTTTGCTTCCTTAAATACCTACTAGGTTCAGGGGAACTTATTTTCCTGTAAAAGCTTGAAGAGCATGGTTTGCAGAAGACAACTTGCTGTGGATCGCTGGGTGAGTGGTGGACATGAGGTTCTTGAATTGGCCCTGCGTGCAGTTCGGGGACTCGTCTCCCCTGGCCTGTCTGTCATGTGAGCCTGTGGTGATTTCCAAAACTCTTCTGATTTTGGAATGTTGGTTGCATACTTATATCCTCACATAAGACACTGGTCTTTTTTTTAGTTCAGGTAGAGAGAGGTATCTCATCCTGAAATAGACTCTCCATTTCCTCTTATTTTCTCTCAGATAAAATAATAACTTCCAGTCCTTGGAACATTTTTCTTTGGTTTTTGTTTTCTCTGAAAGCAATAGAATATAATATGGGAGAATACACATTTAACATAAAATGGTTATTTACAGGGTGAAAGAACTAAAGAAAGGGATTAAATGTTGTGCTTCAGCCACCAGTCGAAATCGGACATCTGGAAACTCCTCTCCAAAACGAGTTCAGAACTCCCCTGTGGCCCTGCCCGGGGACAAGTGTACTCCAAAAAAAGTCAGGCTACGACTTCAGCAGTCACTGACAATGACATCTGGCCCCACAAGAGGAAAGGCCCAGCCTCTGGCTGGCCACCCACCCAACATCCCATTTGCTTCTGTATCTAATGCTCCTGGTAAAATGGGTGGCTCCAGAGGGAGTCCTCCCCACAGGTGGGTCATTCAGACTAGCCCTGTCAGAGGAACCATGGGGTCTAGACATTTGGCCCAAAAGAAGGCGGAAGAATCTGCACCATTTTGCTCTGAGAAAAATCACATTGGCAACAAAACTGCCATTGGGTGGGGAAGCAGGGCCCCTGGTAAGCTGCCTGCCAAGTGCAGGAAGGTGCAGACTGTGCAGCCAGTGCAGAAGCAGCTTGTTTCCCGAGTTGAGCTCTCCTTTGGCGACATGCACCACTTAGCAGAGGACCGTCAGGACAGCAAAGGGGGCACGCTCGCCAAGCCTGCCTCTGAAGCTTGGACAAATATCCCTCCACATCAGAAAGAGAGGGAGGAACATTTGCGCTTTTATCATCAGCAGTTTCAGCAGCCACCTCTCCTTCAACAGAAGTTAAAGTACCAACCACTGGAAGGGCTTTTATGCCAGTACAGGCCCCGAAAAGATCAGCTCCCAACTGAGACCACCCCTGCGTTCCGCTCTTATTCTGAGAGCCATGATGAGGCCCAAGCTGAAGACCCTGATGACAGCGATTTCAGTGAGGATTCTTTTTCCCATGTCTCTAGTCAGAGGACCACAAAGCGAAGAAACACCCTGAAGAGCAGTGAAGACTCGTTCTTCCTTCATCAGAGGGAGCAGAGTTCTGAGGAGCAGGCAGCCGAAAGGCAGCAGAGTCTCTTTTTTAGACCCAGGACAGATAGTGACAAGCAGGACCTAACTGAAAACTGGATGTGCTCGAGGGACCCCATAAGCCCCAGAACATCAGTGCTCAATCACTGTTGCAGCCCAAATCACCAGCCCTTGGACTCGAACCGAGAGGACTCTACCTCCTCAGTGATTTCTCCCAGGGGTAGCCTGGCAGAGAGGCCTTACTGCTCACAGGTGGATTTTGTATATACCCCAAAAAGGAGTGGAGGCCCAGCCTTTGAGCTCAGGCAGGATGCCTTCATAAATAAGGTTCCTGGGCAGGCTGAGGGCAGCTCACTATCACCAGAAGAGGACAGTTTGATTGTCTCACTGTCCCACATTATAGTTCCTGGGTCCTCAGAGAAAAGAGACATTATCACCACACCTTTGAGAGAAGTCAGTGAAGACTGCTCACCTCTAGTGACCAGAATAGTGAACAATAATGACCCTTTCCAAGAAGACTTTGGAGGAGGATCAGGCACATGCTCTGAATATGCCTCTGGACTGATGGCTCCCCTCTCTGTGTCCCTCCTGGATAACCCACACCATGAGAGCCCTCCTCCCTTGGGGAAGGTGGTCCTGCATGGGCCTGCCCACAGTCTAATAGCAGAGGGCACAGGAGGGTCAGTTATGGGCCACACAGTGTCATCTGATGATCAGGAGGCAGTCCTACCAACGCCTTCAGCAACTGGGTACCAGTGGCTCTCTTCGTCTCCTCCTGACAATAAGCGTGGTGGTGATCTTCCAGTTCTGTCCCCGTCACCCATCCGTCAGCACCCACCTGACAAGCTACCCAACAAGGATGCTGACCTGGGGGAGGCCCTCCAGGGCAGACAGACTGCACTCTTCTCCCAGGACCACATGGGCAGTGAGCACTATGATGCCGACGCGGAGCAGACAGAGCTGGGTGGGTCCTGGAGTTTCCCAGGAAAGCCCTTCCCCACCACACAGATGGGGAGATCTCACTCTGGACCTCCACACACCCTACGGACAGAAAATAGTGATGTGGCTGACCAGCCCTGGGCCCAGGAGAGAAAACACACAGGGCAGGGTTGGCAGGAGCTGACTTTGTCCACATATCCCATCAAGCTATCCTGCTGCAACAAGGACAAATGCAGGCCAATCCCAAGGTGCTTGGCAAGACCTGGCTCTGCCCTGGTCCCTAGCTGCTCTGACAAGACTGCAGGGACATTCTACCAGCCCACTCTGGGGCAAGCACAGTAAGTCGGACTTTCTCCCTAAGTCTGAGCCCCTTCAACACCTCTCCCTACTCCAGCGCCAGTTTTTTTCTGTTCTGGTGATGGCTATGTTTGGTTCAGTGTCAGAGGTGGTCTGCAACTAGCAGCAGCTTTCACCAGCTTCACTAGGGAGCCTGCCTAGATGTATCTGACATGAGCTGCAGGAATAACATGTATCAGAGCAAGGCCACCAGTGTGGGTGAACCCTAATCTAGGCAAGCTGAGAGGTGAGCAAGAGAAGGGTAGATCTGCCCCTTAACCAAGCCCATAGCCTGATATCAGAGTCTTCTTCATTCTGGTTGGTCTGTGCTCTTGGAAATACTGCCTAAGCACAGGCAAGCCCCAGAGCTAAGACAAGCTGGGCACCTTCCAAGATAGGGATGGAAAACAACAGGGAGGCTGCTCTCCGCAAAGGATGCTGACAATGGTACAACATAAAGAGATCAGAAAGCAGCCTTAGAGTGTGGAGAAAAAGGCAGTGTGAACCCCACTCACCAAGGCCCAAGAGTTGGGAGGGCAATGTACAGGATGGGCCTGTAGGATGCTTCCATAAGGCTTCAGCCCTTTGCTAGTGCCCTCAGTACCTAAGCCAGGTGTCTCCCTGGTGGTTGCTGAGACTGGTCGGGCATAGACAAAGAGAAAGGCAAGCAGGGTTGTACGGGTGAGGGAGGAGTCTGCCTCTCCCAGGTGGACGATCTTGCTGTCCCATGGTCTCTACCCATCAGTAGAATACAAGACGGCCTCTCCAGCTTTCTAGTTCAGCCTCCCCTGCTTAGGTCCCTCATTCATTCTTCCACCAAAACCGAAACCAAACTCACTGCCATCAAGTTGGATCCAACTCGTAGCAACCCCTCCTTGGGTTTCCAAGGTGGTATCTCTATGGAAGTAAGGTTAAGATTGCTCAGTCTTCCTTCCAAGAAGTGGTTGGTGGGTTTGAACTGCCAGCCTTCTGGTTAGAAGTCAGATGCCTTAGGCACTACACCACAGGAAGTAGAAATGATGGCCTGCTATGTAGCTTTTCCAGTCACAGTGGTCACAGCCCTGAGAGACTTCTGTAAGGAAGCTGTGGGAACAGGCAGTTCCTGTGGAGCTGCAGCAGGAACAGTTCTGTCCTGAGCACCCTCAGGACGTTGGGAAGGCAGGAGAAGCTCAAGAAGCCCATCTCTTCCCCTGTATCTCCCTAGTCCCTTGACAAGTCCCCAGAAGTAGGGAGGAGATGGTGGTGAGCTTGTCCTGGTCAAAGCCTTGACCATTTTGGGCTGAGGTAGCTCCTGGCCTGGAAGTGAGGCTCAGCTCCAGGAAACGATGGGAATAGGAGGGATGGGGGGCAAGAGGATCACAGTGCCCCATCTGGTGTTCCAGGCAGGTGGTGATCCAAGCCCACCAGGAACTTCTGGATGAAATGGCTGAGCTTGGCTTCAAGGAGGAGACCCTGATGAGCCAACTGACTTCTGATGTAAGTAGCTTTGGCCATATACTCAGGGGCTGTTGGGAATTAGCTTGCAAGCAGTTAGATGGTCATCCTTGTTTGATGTGGTGATATGTGGGGTAAGGAGCTGCTGTCACACACTACTGTTGAGGCTTTGTGCCTCCTCTCACCACTCGGAGGTAGCTTGAAGGGGCCAGGCCCATACAGATGGGAGATGGTGCTATACTCCCCATTCCCAGACAAAAATGTTTTCAGCCTCTATCCTTAGGCATTCTGCCTTCCTACTGGCTTGTTAGGGCCCTTCCCTCTGACTGTAATAGTGGCTACATGCTTCAACCAAAATACCTGTGTCCTATAAAACACTCTTCTACCTAGAAAATCTTTCAGACCCAGAGGAGCAGCCCCCACTAGCCTAGCATCTATTCCGCAGTTTTCAGCTGGAGGGTCCTGGGCCCTGAAAAGCCAGTCTGGCAGAGGGCCAGCCAGAGCACACTCCATCTCTCCATTTCCTTTCTCAGGATTTTGAAGATTTTGTGACCCAGTTGGATGAAATCATGGCTCTGAAATCCAAGTGCATCCAGAGTCTTAGGAGCCAGCTGCAGCTGTACCTGGCTTGTCACAGGCCAGCCGCAGCTCCCGAGAGGACAGTGGTGTCCTAAAGCCACATCTGTACAGGAGAGTAGGAACAATGCAGGACCCTGTGCTGGGCTCTCAGGGACTGGAGGCCTCTGCCATGTCCTACTTGCATATATCAGAACCCACACCATTGTCCTGCCCATGCTAGTCTTGCCTCAGCCACACAGGCCTTGAATGGGCTCTGTCCCTCCCCAGCTCTAAGCACAAGAACTTCTTAAGAACCAGGCTGAACTTAATGCCTTTCCTTTTCTCTGGGGCAAGAAGACATCTAGTAACCTGGTAGGAGCTGTGGTAGCACAGTGCCTAAGGCATTTGCCTGCTAACCAGAAGGCTAGCGGTTCAAACCCACCAACCACTCCTTGGAAGGAAGGTTGGGCAATCTACTTCCGTAGTGATACCACCTCGGAAACCCAAGGAGGGGTCGCTATGAGTCTGATACAACTCGACAGCAGTGGTTTTGGAACGTGGTATATGTTTCTGAGTTTGAGGATCAGAGGAGAAAGTGGTCATTGCTAATCTGGAAGTCAGAGGTCACAAGCTGGGGAAAGGAACGTGCTGAGCTCAGGGCCTCCATCAACTGCATTCTCTTTCTTCAAGACTTGGCAAAGAATCAAAACATTGTTAACGAGGTGCTGGGGGCTGAGGGACAGGCTCTCCCTCACCAGACTTTGGGAATTGTTTGATTTGGACTTTTGGTTAGCTTTTGAAACTAGTAAAATTAATAAACCTTGACTTGGATATGTTCTTTAACAGACGTCACACCTCTAACCCCAGGTTTATGCTTATAGTTCCCCTCCCTTCCTGCAGCCCAGAAGTGAGACCAAAGATGGTGCCCATGTTTGCATTTTTCTTTCCCAATCTGTGACTTTTCCATGATTGATCAGCCTGTGTGCAAGCCCAGATAGGCATCATACTTCTGTGGCAATTCATGGCTTTTGAGACTCACCTCCTAATACCTCCGTGTTTTGGTACAAGGTAGGGCCCACTTATCTAGTTGTGTCTGACACACTTTCTAGGGGTGAAGAATTGAAGAACTGGAGGATCTTGGGCAAGTGTGTTATCCTTGTCTTCATCCAGACTGGCACATCCAACCCTCTCAAGGGCCTCTGTTCACTATCTTGGCCTTGAGTGTTTGGGTCAAGAGCCTGAAATGTCTGAAACAATACACGCACATTCACATGCACACACTTTCATCTGAATTATGGTTGCTGTCATTTGACTGCTAACCAGAAGACTGGCAGTTCAAATCCATCAGCCATTCCTTGGAAGGAAGGTTGGGCAATCTATTTCCTTAGTGATGCCTCCTCGGAAACCCAAGGAGGGGTCGCTATGATTTGGATCCAACTCGACAGCGATTGAGTCCGGTTTTTTGATTTGAGCTCAAAACAGGGAATACAAAGCAGTTTCTAGGTGCCCGTGACTTTCCAAAGCCATTTTAGGTCAAAGTGACATTCAGGATAAGGTGTGAAACTTTTTTTTTTTTTTTCAGGTAAAGTACAATTTTTTGGAGGTTAATTAAAAGGCCACATGCATGCATGCACTGCCGTCGAGTCGGATTTGACTCACAGCAACCCTTCCTTCGGTTTCTAAGGTGGTATCACTACGGAAGTAGATTGCCCAACCTTCCTTCCACGGAGTGGTTGGTGGGTTTGAACCGCCAGCCTTAAATGGCTTGCTGAGTCTGCAGCAGTCTGGCCCGGCCACTCTTTGGCAGTTTATGGCCATTCCTCATCTGACCAGCAGAGGGCACTGCGCTTCCACATTGCTCTAAAACCCTGTAGTCCATTATCACACACCCACTAAACAAAATTAGAGCACTGCCCTCAACCAAAACCCCCAAAGATGGTATTTACAAGAACAAGGAACTTCAGGGATGAAGTCAGTTTCAAACAATACAACAGCACTGCTCAGGACCACTGAGGCGATTTAAATCCAGTCTTGCCTGATGCTATACACAGATAGGACTCTTTCCTCATTCCTGCCCCAGAGCCAGTTTCTCAGGGAAGAATATGCCCTTGGTCCAGGGACTGAGGTAGGTCAGGGTGTAGCACCTTTTGCAGACCCAAAAGTAGGGCTAATTGGAGGGCCAATTCCTAGGTCCCACAGACTGAGAATGGGAAGATAGTTATGACAGAAAATGTTTAGGATCTGTTCCAACAGCAAACCTAAGCAGGAAATCCCTTCATCACCATGCCTGTAAGTAAACGGCTCTTATGAAAATAAAGAAATTACCACAGCAGGGCATACCTTTTAGATTTTTATTAGTAGTTCTCTTTGAAGAATCAAAATAGTTAGCAAATTAGATTCATCAAGACTGTATATCCTTTGTATTTAGATCTTTAATGATGTACAACATAATACAAAACAAAGAGACTGATTTCTAGGACTAGGTGTTACTCATTGTGTCATCCTAAAGCAGTGGGCTGGAGGGAGAGGCTGTTCTCCAAGAACAGAGGCAGAGTTAGTGCTGGACGACTAAATCGTGGCCTGTTTTCTCCCCCATTCGGAGTGCTGGAAAGGGGCCAATGATTTTTTAAACTGACAACTTCCCTAGAGCAGTAAACCCTGGGTAGGAGAGGGCTATGGTCAAAACCAAGCCAAAAGACACAGGCTGGGGGCAGGGAAGCACGGTGACTGCCTGGCAGAAGAGGCAACCTCAGGGCCTTGTGGGGAAAGGGCATTCTTTACACCTCAGAGGCACTGCAGACCAGTGTAACACTAAAACACTTTTTGCTGAAAGTAGGGGGAAATTAACAAAACCCTGGCAGAACCTTTCAATTGCACTGAACTTGGATAGGAGTTCAGTCCACCATCAGTGAGGCTGAGGTGGAGGGTAGGGGAGCATCTAGCCCCAAAGCAGCACTAAGTCTGGCCTTCCCACCCCTTCTCTTCGACTCCTCTTGGCAGCTAGGCCAGGTTTAGGCTGAGCACGTACAGACCCCAAGAAGATCAGGACCATCTCTCTGAAGGGCCAAGGTGGGAAGGACACTTCTCAAATACAAATACATTTAATATGGAAGAAAGAACCAGGACCATTCTGGGGGCATTCATATGCCAAGTCTTCCTCATTTTTCCCCCAGCTCAGGGCCTAGGTCAAAGACTGGCAAGTGCAGTCTCTACACCTGACCTCCCACCCCGAAAAGAAAATCCAGAAGTGTGCCCCTTCTTCCCCACAGGTGGGCTCTGCAGGGCCTCCTGGGGGTGATGGTTCCGTGGCAGCAAGACCTAGGCATGGCCTGGTTTCAGCTGGCTCCTGCCCGAGCCATGAGGTCTTCCAAAGCATTGTCCTGGTCATTGTTGTGTAACAGCAAAACTTCCTTAATGTCTTTTAGTTCAAAGCCCATTTCCTTAAATTTGCTCATTAACTGAAGAAACTCCATCATCTAAGGGAGAGAAGAGAACAGAGATTATAGAAAAAGGGTCTATCCACAAAGAAAGAGTGAGTGAAAGAGTGTATGTGCGGAAGGGACGCTCGTGGGAGTCTGCATCTTTCACATGAGCCTCTGTGGGGTCCCCTAGCAAACAAAGGTGGGCTGGGCTGGAGAAGAAACCAGGGCAGATAGGCTGATAGCCTCAGGACATCATCCTACAGGAGCCATGCTCAGTCCCAACTCACTCCCGGTGACTTCAGTCCATGTCTTATCACCACACACACAAAGTGACTAGCAATCTCCCCAGCATGTGAAAGTTTGGCTTTTCCCTTGTTTTTCCCTTCAGGGGAGTCTGCATTCCTTCACTGGGGTTTCAGACAGACCTCCATTCAATTCTTCATCTGAGCCAAATACAGGCCTCAGCCTGTCTGCACACTTGGGAGATTCTGTCCTAGAATGCCTCTGCCTGTAGCCACTGGCAGGGTAGAGTTGTGGCCACAAGGTTCCCATGAAGCATGAAGGTTCCCACCTTTTCCTCTGAACACTGGTGCATCTCCAGAGCCTCTTCCACTAAGAGAGGGTCGAAGCCCTTCTCACAGAGCTGTCCGTGTGCAAAGAGATAGTCGAGAATCTAAGAAAAGAAACAAATTTCAGTACCTAATGCCACTCCTTTCTGGGATTCCAGAGTGTCTTACACAACTAGCTAGTGTGAGGTCTGTGCCCCACCCTGCCCTGGTTAGGACTTGGTTTTGTTCTCTGAACTGTCTAGCACAGGACCTCAGTGACTATTTGCTGAAGAGGCTGCCACACCCTTCTAAACATGAGTAGCCATTTTCCAAGGTGTCACTACCGCAGCTGACTCATGTTTTCCAGAATGCCAGCTCCACAGCCTGGATAGGATATTCTTTTAAGTAATCCAAGTTGGAAAACGTCTCCAAAGTTTTGGACCCTAGCACCCCATTTGGGACTTCCTGGGCAGCTATGGCAAAATAAAAATTTCTGAAAGAGATCTGACTATATCCACAAGTCTAGTTCACCCTCTTTGGAAGAGTAGTGGAGGGGGTAGCTAGATAACTCCTAATAGCTCCAATACTTTTTTTTTTTTTTCTCCTTTTTTTACTGAAATGATTTACTGTATATTTTTTTAATGCATTTTATTGAAATATATGTATAGTGAAATACACTAAAGTGACATGGATCAATGCATTTTTTTTTACAGTGTTCCTTTCCCTCCCCCGCCACAGTAACCAACAAAGAAAGTTCCCTTCCATATATAAACCTTTCCTTGACTTTTTACAATAATGAACTAATAATATCTTTGTCCATCTGTGATTGACTTCTTTCACTCAACATAGTGTCTTCCAAATTCATCCATATTATGCCTGTTTTGCAGATTCCACATTATTCTTCAAGGTGGCACAGTATTTCATTGTGTGCATGTACTACAGTTTGTTTATCCATACTTCTGTTGATGTGCACATAGATTGTTTCCATCTTTTTCCTACTGTAAATAATGCTGCAATGAACATGGGTGTGCATATATCTGTTTTTGTCCTGGCTCTCACTTCTTTAGGGTATATACCTAGTAATGGGATTGCTGGGTCTAATGGTATTTTTAAGTCCAGCTTTTTAAGCAATCACCACAATGTTTT